TTATCGGGGCGCGCGCACCCGCGTCCGCCCCCGACGGGGATTCCCCCTTGGAATGGGTCGGCGCCAGTGGCTCCCGGGAGAAGTTGAGCGCGGCTGCTGCACTCCAGCCACGTCCGGGAGGACAGGCCTGGGAGACCGCGCGTCCAGATGCTTTCGCGGTTAGAGAGGGGCCTACCCTTCTCCGGGGCTGGGCTCTGGCTTCCCGGTGTGCCGCGACCTTGATTTTGATCTAGATCTGAAGGCTCCGGGGATCTTTAGAGGCTTAGCTACCAGGTGGAAAGAACGGGTTTTGTTCCGAGGATTTATGCGGTTATTCAATGGACTGTGAGGCGGCAGCATCTGCAGACGCTGCCTGTATTCTGTAAGGGCTGCTGGATTCCTCCAGATTTGTGTAGGTTCTTCCCGAACTCCCACCCCTCAAAACAAGAGCCTTTAAAAAGCCAATCTATGTGCTTCTATTTTTAGAAACTAGATGATGGACATTTAAACAACTCCTTGGGCTCTCCAGTGCAAGCCGACGTGTACTTCCCACGACTGGTAAATGATTTTTTTTTTTCTGGGCTCTGTGTCGCTGCCGGTACCCTCTTCTTTCTAATTGCATTTTCTAATGGGTCAGGTCCTCAGGATCTGAGGGCTTGGCTCTTCCCCTTGCAGGCTGTAAACTTCCTGTTTCCCCTTGCAGATAGTTCCATTTTGTGGGCATATTAAAGGTGGCATGAGACCAGGCAAGAAGGTGTTAGTGATGGGCATCGTTGACCTCAACCCTGAGAGGTAAGGCAGAGCTATCAGGCAGTGACAAGGCCCTGCCCCCTCCTATGTACTGCTCCTCCTCTTCCTCTCCCTGTGGCCAGTGTTGCTAGTTGGAAGTGCCAAGAAAGTACCATGTTCCCATGAAAAGAATGTGTATGAATCCCAGCCATCATTTCTCCAGACAGCTATTTATATCTAGAGATTATAAATATAGGCCCACATCATTTTTTCTTTGACCCTTAGGGAGGCCAAAGGACTTGTTTTTTGTAGTTTTAAAACATGGTGCTTGGAGTGAGAACTATCAATATAAATGAGAACCAAATTTACAAGATATTATTTCCCCTGATCAGTTTTGGGGGCTGTGTTTGAGAATTCTGAAATGGATTAAGATAAAAGATGTGTGAATGGTTTAGGGTATCTGAAATCCCCAATGTGAGTCATTTTCAATTCCACCAGAGCCTCCTTTATGTAACAAAATAACTGGTTTGATTATAATCCTACTTCTCCATACCTAGTCTAACCTGGGTAAAGAGTAGTGTCCCATGAAAAGCAGACAAATCCCGAGAAGAAGGAGAAAATGTGGGAGCCTGGGTCATTGTTAAATGTTGTTATGTCCAACCTGGAATAAATGAGACGATTTTCTTACCAGTTTTGCCATCAGCTTGACCTGTGGTGACTCAGAAGATCCTCCAGCTGATGTGGCAATTGAACTCAAAGCTGTGTTCACAGACCGGCAGCTACTCAGAAATTCTTGTATATCTGGCGAAAGGGGCGAGGAACAATCAGCGATCCCTTACTTTCCATTCATCCCAGACCAGCCATTCAGGGTGAGTACCTCGAGTGCTCCAACTCCAGCCCCTGGCAGGGTGAGGATGTTTTCCTCCTCTAGTGTTGCCAAGAACGCTTTAAGCAGCCAGAATTTCTGCATGTCCAAGAAATTTGTCACCCAATGGTGAAAAAAGGTCAAAAGAACTGTGTGCTGATTTGAATTAATACTCGCCATGGTAGCTCTTAGCTAATACATTTAGTAAGTAAATCCATATTTATGTGTCCTGATTGTTAAGAATACTTTCTATGTAGTGCTTCACATAGTATTAAGTATATAATAGGTACCTGTCCCAAAAATAGTTGATTGATTAATAAATATGAGTTGTCCTCATTTTTTCTCAACCTTTAAGAAGCACTAAATCTTATTAGTTATAACTCTTTAAAGAATATAGTGGTTGGAATTTCAAGGCCTGGCTATATCTTTGTTTCCTCCTATGGGTTAAGTAGCCTCAGTCTGTGTCTTTGTCACAGGCTGTGTGGCTGACAAATCTTTCCCTTGGAGCTGGATGAGTATAGATTTGCTCCTCACTATCTAGCAAGCCGGAAGCTCAGCCCTAACTTCCCATCCAATTAAGATGCATTAGCAGCACCTTCTTCTATGAAGGACAACACCAAGTAAGAGATGCAAGTCAGTAATGTGTTAAGAAAGGACTTACTAAAATGTGAGACCTGGTGATGAAGTTGTCCACATTATACCTTGTTAATAAAAATCACAATAATGACAACTCAGTTGAAAGCTCTATGTTGCATATACTCCTAACAAAGCAGAACTACCTACCTTTGCTCTTCATCTAGAAATTTATAAGGGCCTTATGAAGAAGTAATTATGTTCTGGGGGAAAACATAAGAATCCATGACTTTTCATATCAGTGGTCGCATTGAGATTGTTGCCCTTCTAATCATAGTCTGGGAAAGGCACCCCCACCCATGATCCCTGCCCTTCCCTTTCTCTAAAATGGTAATGACCCCTTCGGCTACTCTTGACTGTGACAGTTTCTTAATTATGAATCTTAATGCATAGCTCAGGAGTGTGAGTAAACAGAGCTCCTGACTGCCAAGAGGAATATAATGCTTCCCAACAACAAAATTGAAATGATGTTGGCCCTCCTTGGTGACATAAGTTTGGTAATAATACGAATTAAATGTGACTAACATCACATATGGAGTCTCTCCTTGCATGGTGAATACCAATGCTTTTAATAAATACATAGCATAGAACCAATGATTAAACTCTATGGTGAATTGCTTAAGGAAGAGAGGAAGAAAAACCTTTTACCATATGGAATCAGTATTTCTGTTTGTCTTAACAAAGCCTTGTTAATTATACATCCTTGGTCCAATGGTAATTACTCTGTAACCTCTTTGCTTTAGTGTTTACCAGGTTGGAGTGTCTAGACTATTATTATATGCTACTAATGCATACCAGTTCTGCCTTATGAGAGGCTCCTCTGAAGGTGGGATAGATTGTTCAGGGGGATGACAGTGGAGGCATTAAGTGCCATATAAATAAAGCTATGCTCTCTGGAGTGTTAAAACATGAGCAATTTTAAATCTTTAAAGGATATTACATAGTGTAGAGCAATGGTTGACAAAGTGTGTTCCTCCTTCCAGCAAAAACAGCATCCCCTTGGAACTTGGTGGAAATGTAGATTTTTTTTTAGAAATCACATTAGACCTACTAAAATGAAAATTTTGGAGGTGGGGCCCAGCAATCTGTGTTCTAACAAACGTTCTGTATTATATTCCGATGCACTCCAACACGTGAGAACCACTGAAGATGTTGCCGTTCTTTCTCTAAAGCAGCGGTTCTCAACCTGTGGGTCGCGACGCCTTTGGGGATCGAACGACCCTTTCACAGGGGTTGCCTAAGACCATCAGAAAACACATATATAATTACATAATTTTCGTGTGATTAATCACTATGCTTTAATTATGTTCAATTTGTAACAACGAAATCGGAGGTCACCACAACATAAGGTACTGTATTAAGGGGTCGCGGCATTAGGAAGGTTGAGAACCACTGCTCTAAAGTGAAAGACTGTTTGTTTTCCCTAGCAGGGTTCATTGAAATTGGGAACTGAGATTGATTGTTCTGTTTCTTCCAGGTGGAAATTCTCTGCGAGCACCCACGTTTCAGAGTGTTTGTGGATGGACATCAACTTTTTGATTTTTACCACCGCGTTCAAACGTTATCTGCAATCGACACCATAAAGATAAACGGGGACCTCCAGATCACCAAGCTTGGCTGATGGTGTTTCAACCACCTCCGTTTCAAATCGGACTCTCTGACTGTTGGTCTGGAAGAAGTGTCTTAACAACATCTGGAGACTTAAAAAGAAAACAAAAACAAAAGGCAAGCTTCACTGTCTCTTCTTTGCAGTTGAAACCCAAATGACAACTTCAACCAAGGTTTGCCCTGAGGAAGCTGTCGGAACAAAGACACCGAGCCATTATTCCCAGAACAAAGTAATAACATTTATGCTGGATTTTATTCAGACCTAAACGGAAATGGATTTGTGATGATTTGTGATTTGGTAGCGAGTTATTCATCTTTTCAAAGCAAGGTGATGTTTAGAAACAAAAAGTGCTAAAGACTTAACAACAAAGACGGTACACCGAAATCAACTCATTTCTGCACTGAAGTGGAATTGCGTAGCACAACCAACATTTTAGTCAGGGTATTAACATAGAATGTAGGTTGTTCAAGGTTTGTGTGGTTGTTTTTTTGTTTTGGGGGGTTTTGTTTTTTTTTTATTTTGTTTTGGTTTTTTTGCACAGGATAATGTTAATTCAGATTTTTAAAGCTTTCTCATATTTATTTATGCTCAACATATGTATTAGAAAATGATTAATATCTCAAGAACAACAAGTTAGGAACTTTTGAATGTACAAATATCTTAGGTCCAAGGGGGAAAAGATACATATTACAATCATGTAACAGGTGAATTTCTACCTTAAACAATTGAGTCATATCCTCCAGATCCCTATATTTAGGATCTCTTGATATAAATTGCTGTAAGTGCTTTTGGAAAGACTGCAACATTTTGGTAAAACTGGTTTTGGAGTTATTGACAATTCATGTAAAATTCTATTTACATTGCTTTTTCTCCTTCCTGTGAATTAACACAGTATTGCCTTCCTTAAGACTGACTAGCTACTTTTTCCTAGATTTACATAATGGCTCCTTAAGTTGCTATTAAACTAATTGACAGCATATAAGAGGTGATTGCATAGACAGTTTTTAAATGACTATTATATAATCTTTTAAGAGTATAATATGAAAATGATTCTGGAATGCAATGTAAAGCAGGAGCCACTGGCCCCAAATAACTTACTCGCAAATAATTTATATCAACTTAAGCTATTAGCTCATTGCATCCCTTTTATTATATGACCCTCACCAGTATCCCCAAGCAATGCCTTTGCAGCTGCAGAGTAGAGGACGGTTCCTACTTTGTTGGCTCTGCTGAGATACTAGGATAAGACAGGATCCAGATTAGGAAATGATCCAATTAGCTTATCTGAAAGGTTAACTCCCAGAACTCCAGGTCTTTGAGTCCAACCAATAGGACGCGTGCTCCCGATTAAGCTGTAGGAGTTTCCCTGCACTTGTGGAACTGATCAAACAGCAGTGCCTCTCCAGGAGGAGCCTGCACTACCATCAATGTCATCGAGAGGCAAGGGATGGTCGGCGTCCTGGGTGCTGAATTTCCCAAACCCCATTGGCCCTGGAGAGAAGGACCTTTGGCATTGCTTGGTCAGGTAGAATGGGGTGGGGGGGAAGGGGTGCTAGGGTGGGGGTGTATTTATATATAATTTAGGTTTTGTTTGTACAGCATACCATGTCTTGTTATGACACGTCCTTGTCCTGCTTTGCTTTTGAGTTTTTTTTTTACACAACATGCAGAGGCACTGAAGTGGCCACGTCATTTCCACGTGTCGAGAATGTAGACAGTGTTTCAGTACCAAAGTCTAAGAAAAAGAAAACTAAAATGGTGACGTTTTTATAGGCGATGTATTTGGATTCTTCTAACCTTTGAAACTGTGTAGCACAGTTCCATTGTGTTATATAAGAAGATCCTTTACCCAACAAGACTGGCTGAGTATTGAAAAGCTGTATGGACCAGCTGACTTAATCAGCCCAGCGGGCTGTCTGTGGCTCCAGGTATTTTCAAGCCTGTGATTAATTTCTCATGGTCCTGAAGGATGTGTGTTGGGTTTTTATTCTACTAATGGTGGAAGAACCCACGGGAGGTTTCCTTTGAGTGGCCATCCGTTCCCACCCACTGCATAATTCAGCAGAAACCAGAGGCGTTGGGAGTGTAACTGATTGGAGTGGACACTGTACTCTCTACCTGTCGGCTAACTGGTTAGCAAGCCCTTAGGCAGTGTAATGTAAAGACAGGCTGTTAACCTTTCGTTTCTCTCTGAGGTTTTGGTTAAGCCTATTGGAATTAATCTAAAAGATGTGATAGTTTGGTTCAGCTGTAGGTAAATTAGCAGGGGCCTACTCCAGCTGTAAACTGGAAACACTGTTCATGTCCTCTCAGGGCCATGTGAGGCCCAAGGTGGGAACTCAGTAGGGAAAGTGCAATTTAAAGCTTCACACGAAAGCACTTGGGTATGTAAGGAGTTATTTCTGACCAGAGTCATTTCGCAATGTGACCAAAACCAAGGAGAGTAATGAACAATCAGGCTCGGGGGGAATAAAGGCAGGCTGTAGACAATCTGTCCATTTCTGCATCAAAATTGGAGTGAATGTTTGTATATACTTACAGGTTAATAGAAATGACTTCTACTTGCTGGGCTAACCCAAAATTGTCTTAAAATTCTTTTCTTTTTTTTTACTTGAAACCCCATTTTAAATCTTGCCAGCCTCAATTCAAAAATCACTCTTAGAATTGATGGCGATTTGTTAAAGTGGCAAATCCTTTCATTTGTATTAAAAAGAAAATATCCAAAAAGAGGGAAACAGCCTTGGCGTTTTCTGGCATTAATGAAATAGTGTCCCTCTGATGAATTATTTTCAAAGAAACACTTTCTTATTTACTGCGTGGTGTAAAATGTGCTAAATGTGTTCTTACATTATTATGTCACTGCTGAAAGTTATTTGCACTATAATAAAGGAATTTTCTACAAAGTGGCTTCCAGTTGATCACATGCTAAATCTGGCTCCAGTTGTGATATACTGACCATTGATGTGTATAACAGTGTTCCCTCAGTTTCACACTCATACTCCAAGACCACGTGTTTCTGTATGTCCCACATTGACAAACTGATTGATCAAGGAAGGAAATTGTCTCAGGGCCCTCAGAGACCTAATGAGTTTATGTTGTGTATGCAAGGGATTCTTTTTTTTAATATAATATATTTTTATTGATTTCAGAGAGGAAGGGAGAGGGAGCGAGAGATGGAAACATCAATGATGAGAGAGAATCATCAATTGGCTGCCTCCTGCACATCCCCTACTGGGGATTGAGCCCACAACCCAGGCATATGCCCTGACTAGGAATCAAACCGTAACCTGCTGGCTGATAGGTCGAAGCTCAACCACTGAGCATGCGGGCTGGGCGGATTCTTTTAAAATATAATTTACATTCAGTAAATTCACTGTTTGGGGTGGGGTACAGTTCTATGAGTTTTAACACATGCATAGGTTCATGCAGTTACCACCTCAAACAGAATACAGAATTGTTCCATCACCCCCCAAAATTCTCTTGTGCTATATCTTTGTAGTAAAACTTGTCCCCTACTCCTAACCCTGATTAGACAACCACTGATTCATTCCCCCTTCCTTTAGTTTTGCCTTTTCCTGGATGTCATAAGAGGATCCTACAGTATGTGTAATCTTTTGAGGTTACATACTTCCCCATTAGCAGAATGCATTTGAGATTCATGTTTTGTGTATCAATGGTTTTTCTTTGTTATTACGGAGTCGCATTCCATTGTATAGATTTACCAGTTTTTTAAACCTCTTAGCTGTTAAGGATATAGTGGGTTCTTAATAAATTGTAAAATGCAGTCTTAGCACAGTATATGCAAAAGCAAGACTGCATTTCGCTTGTCCTCTCCTGTGGTTTGAATGATTGTGAAGGAAACAATCTCTTGACTGTTCTACCTACAAGTGAAATATGGCTTAGAGAAGTTTGCCGAGCTTCAGTTTTGGGTGGTGAGCAGAGAGATACTAGTATTTACATGCGGGATCTAGGATCCTGTTTTTTCCTTAATTAGTTTTATTAATCCCTTTATTTTTTAAAAGTTTTAAGGATGCAAGGCTGTGAGGCTAGTCTTACAGCTTTTGCAGTTAAGTGCCGGCAGGGAGAGGTCTGTTAAGGTGGGGACAATTTGCTGAGGCTGTTGGGCAGAGATAAGAGAGCTTCCCCCCGCCCCCCTAGTCTAGGTAGGAAGGTCCCTTGGGGGATATGACATTTGTGAAGAAAATAATTTTCCTCTCCCCTTCTAAATTCTGCAGGACTTATAACCAAATGAACATGAAACAGATTAACATTAACACGAGACAATGTGTACGAATGTACATTGGGGGGTGCCATAAGAACGGGACCGGAAGATGCACTGAGCAGTCGAGGTTCATATGCCATTTTGGACCGAGGAGAAGGAGGCAGGGGTCTGGGATTTCAGATGGAAAGCAGGTCATTTACAGGTAGATGGGGAAAGAGCAAACATGTAAACAAATTTTTGCTGGACCACCCAGAAACAATGGGACACAGAGGCAAATACAGCTAACAAGCTTTGCTAGATTTCTTTCGTTTATATTAGGATGCTAAGTGATGTTCCCTTCCTTTAAGCAGGTTTTTCCAAGCAGTTAGAGGAGAGGGTCAAAGGTTCTGAGTCTTTTGTTTCTTAACAGCCAGTTTAAAAATCAATATCCCAAAAAAGCATATTTTAGGGTACAAAACTTTGGTGTCTCCTTCACATTACACTTGTTTTATGACATCCGTTGGATTAGATGGTGTGGAAGATATCCATACCTGTAGCCTCCACGGGCCTCAGGCACTTGGGACCTTCATTCATTCAACAGCTATTTATTGAGCTGTGTCCATTGCTGTTCTAGGCACCTGGGTACATCAATGAGTGAAACAGACAACAAGATTTGGTGGTTTAAACCTTATGTGCTTAAGAATCACCCAGAAAGTCTCCTTACTGAGCAGAAGCCCAGCCTCACCCTGGAAGATTCTGTTTCAGTAGCCTACAGTAGGTCTCAGGAGTGTATATCTTTAAGAAATATGCCCTGGCTGGTTTGGCTCAGCGGATAGAG